TTGTACAATTATTTTTACTTTGAAGTCGGTGTCAGTCAATGTAGATTCATTACTTAATTGTTACAATACTTTCAATTGTCAATTGTTATGGAAAAAATGTAGAAACGCTTACGTAGAAATATCACTGCATACCTTGGCTGACACCGACATCAAAGTGAAAATAATTGTACAATATAGACATAACAGTTACAATAAGGTAGGTTTACTATTTTCAAGGAATTATTTCGTTACTTTTCAGTGTACTGTTTTTTTGAGAATATTTTGTTTTTGGTGTATTTTGTTTTGTTTTTCGTGTATTTTGTTTGGAAGTCGGTTTTGTTTTTTTATGTGTGTTATGGTGTAAATCCGCCGCTAGTGGACTGATTTTGATAATAATGTTTTTATCCGAGCACTACCACTCGCAGATGGGTTCCATTTTTTTGATTGATTTTTGGAGTCAAAGTAGGTACATAGTTTTTCGGTTCATAGTTAGTCTTACCTAGTTAGCCTTAGTTTGCATGAGATTTTGTACCACTTTTTACAAAATTTCTTCTCAACTATATAAAAATGGTAATTAATTATTGTATAGTTTATATCGTTACAAATTAAACACTTTTACTTTTTTTATATTAGTGTTCATTCAATATCGATGCTAATATATTTTATTACGAGAAAGCTTCGAATGGATTTGATAGAAAACTATTTGAGAATATTATTTCAGTTTGGAGAGATGGCCAATTATTTCTACATATGTTATAGCGGCTGTTAGATTTTATTACACCTATCATTAAACTTTTATAATAATAATTCTTACTCTTTCTTTATTACTTTGGAATGTAGATGTTTTTATGTTACGTAAATCTGAGGTTTGAACACTTGACTTGTAATCTACAAGTCTTGGGTTCGAATCCCGCCATGTACCAATGAGATTTTCGATTTTTCGAATTTTCATATGTACATAATTTACCCGACGTTCTTACGGCGAAGGAAAACATCGTGATGCAACCTGCACATATCGGCGAAGAAATTCAAAGATATATGTGAAGTCAACCAATCCGCAGTGGGCCAGCGTGGTTGACTATGGCCCAGTCACCCCATATTAGGGTAGGCTCCGAGCCCCTCGGTAGGGACGTATAGTGAGCTGGTGATGAAATCTGAGGTTTCGTGAAATATGTTTAGCTTCGAAAGTTAGTTCTTATTTTAAGGTCACTAAAACCACACTAAGTGTGGATTTACGTTACTAAATATGTACTTAAAATATGGATGTGAATCTGAATTAGTTTTAGTTAATACTAGCGCGCGACTCCGTCCGCGTGGAATTTATTCCAAATTTCATCGCAATCCGTTCAGCCGTTTATATACAAACTCTTACAAACATCTATCCTTCCATCCATCCTTCTAAAAATTCGTATTTATTTATAATATTAGTATGATTGGTTAGATTTTTGATTGGTATATTTTAGTAGATTTGTATGTAGATTATATGATTACAAATGCGTTATTTAGTAATCCATTATTTGTGTTTTATTGCCTTTTATCTGAAAATCTTGATAGTTTTACAAAGCATTGAGTGAATGAAGTAAGTGGCTACCATTGTTTTTGCTAACGGTCTTGTTCTTAATGGTATAGATTCATATAAATAAAAAAATATGTTGGATCTAAATATATTGAATAAAAATATGGTTTTATTTTGAATGCATATTAGTATAGTATCTAATGGAAATTCGTTAAAGTAATTTAAAATTGAGACTATAATGTTGTTTTTCTTAGTTTGTGGTAAGTAAAGTAATAATGTAAAGAGTT